ATTTTTTCATTTGAACATGAGCTATTAAAAGTTAAGTTTGTTCTTTTAATTTTTTTATCAGTAGAAACCAAGATGGCGGAATCCGAAAAATAATCGCATTAATGAAAACTTGGCAATCCCAGATTTCAGGATTGCAGGTACGGATTTGTTCACAAAGTTGACCTGATTCCAAAGGGTATGAAATTTTGGGCTACGGAATCGAGGAGCAAAGTTGGAAAAGTGTGACTCTGGCGCACTGACATTCGCAGTAATGATATAGAATGAAAATATGTATGTTAGGAAAATAGTCGGGTCCTTGTAACCCTCCTCTAAGTATCTGACTCCCCATGCCTCCTTCTTTACGCTATCTTTGCAAAGTGACAGATCAGACCCAAAATGGAATATTGCTGCCATATATGGTCTGGTGACGCCTGATTTTATCAAATCCGTTAAAATAGTGATTTAGGTGTATACTTTCCCACGAGACAAAATTTTGAAAGTCTACCCGTACGGTATCGCTATTTCGATGGATTGTGTTCTAACGATCTACGTTACTTGGCTTACCCAGGACAGGCATTTGCAGCTGGGACCCGCCATATCACGCACAAGAAGATGAATCATCCTAGTTCATTTAGTATTCAATTACTAAGGAGGAAGTTCCACTTTGACAGCGTCTTCCAGAGAACTGCTGTTTTGTGGAACAAATTCCCAGCAGGGTTTTTTTCACTACAATCTTGACCTTTTCAGGTCAACTCTTATCACTCCTAAATAACTACATAAACGACACTTTTTCTTACGCTCATAAAACAGTATAGATTAACCTTCTAAACTGAGTGCCTCTGAGACTTGTATTGAAAGAATACACCCCCCCAACACACACACACACACACACACATATATATATATATATATATATGAAGAAAAATAGTTTTAAGGTGTGCTATATTTATGGGATAAAGTGCTCAATATCAGAGCATATGTAAATATAAATATAAAGTGAAAATTGAAGTCAACACTCATAGGCGACGAAGGCTGTTTCAGGGGCCTGACGATTGCGTCCAGCATGAAACAGCCTGTCGCACTGTTACTTCATGTTCTCATTATATGTAAATGTGTGTGTATATATATATATATATATATATATATATATATATATATATATATGAACTGTATACGGCTTGAGATTGTTATCGTTTGGGTGACTCTCTTTAAGTATACCTCCTTAGAGAGGTCATTTAGTAGAGCTCGATTATTTATTCACACCGTTGCCTGAAGGAGAGTCAAATCGACAAGAACCAGTTGATGTCCAGCAAATATAATGGCAGGAAGCTTGTGATATATAGTAACAAACACGTTTACAATAGTCCGCACATAAATAATATAAATATTGCTAATGATTTCGATTCTTATTAAAGTACGAAATTCTAATGCCTTGTGCCAGACTTAACTAAGGTGATTAAATATCTACTTATATATGAATATCGTATTAATATACAGGAATCTCTAACTCTGGTAAATGAGGACAATTACCAGGTCTTGTCTTACTGGATATTGAAAATTCAACACCTAAGGCTAATTTGATAATTTTAAAATTTCGGGAAGCAATTTTTATGAGGTGGAATGAGAAGTGTTTTTTAAGGGAGGGAAAGATTGCTTGAAGCCAGGCACGCTATCGATTATAGGCGGGGATATGGCAGCGATATGGATTGCTATTGAATTTCTTGAAATTTTTTTGTCATTTTTTTTTAAAAAAAGAAACAATGTATGAAAAATAAAGCATATAATTTTCGTTTTACAGAATTTCCTTTTCCTCCTCACTAATCATTATATGTGTACATATGCAATATATATATATATATATATATATTGCATATGTACATATATATATATATATATATATATATATATATATATATATATATATATATATATATATATATATATATATGAGGTCTTATCAGAAATATCTGAAACATGCTATGATAACAGAGCCAAAGTATGCAGAATGAAGTCGCTTGGCACTAAGTTATAAACTTCTCTCCTATCTCCGTTGTTTATAGCCGTACTTAAAAAGGAAAGTGTGTAGAGGGTGCTCGTCTAACCAAAGAACTGAATTTATATCAGTGACCATGATTTCTGACGCAGTTTTTTGGCCAAATACAACATTTCTCAGTTCAACCGACCGCCATATGCACTAGGTTTCGCCCTTTGCTATATATATATATATATATATATATATATATATATATATATATATATATATATATATAATTAAGCTGAATTGAGGTGTTTAGTCTCGTTTCATCTTCAAGCGAAATTTTGATTTTGAAACATGAGAACTCTTATGTAGCGAAGGAATCATATTATTATGTATGGACAACTGTCTTCTTAAAAATAAAAACAAAAATACTAAGGAACCCCGGATTATGCACCCAACGTGTTCTTTTTCTATTTTCTGCATACCTGCACTTATATATATATATATATATATATATATATATATATATATATATATATATGCTGGACTCTCGTCGTTGATAGACGTATGATAGTCAAACAAGACAGTTTCTAGGAACCTAGAAGAAGACACCTGCGCAGATGATTTAATTATAGGTGCGAAGGCAGTGCGCAGAAACAACCACATTTTTTAAAGAGACCAGGTGTACAATGTGCCACAAGGTCCACAAACAACACAGGTTTTAAATTCAGAGTTCTCCTTCTCCAAGACCAGGCCATAAAGTCAAGTGTTTCCAGCTATTTACTCATAGCTTGGGTGGTGGAGAAGAAGAGGCTAATGCGAATTGAGTCACTCCCAGTCACTGGGCGTGTTTATAAAGATAAACACACTAAAAATCCACTTTTCTCCCTACCGTGCGCCGATGGCTTAATGGTTAGAATCTCCGAATAACACCAGTTCAGTCGGGTTTCGACTTTAGCTGGAGGCAACTGGATGTCTAGCCACACTGATGAGCTGCGAAACAGTCTGTCTGTGGATGATGGTATATATCTATATATGACCCATATATTTTCGCGAATATTTTTGCGACGAGGCAAAAAATAGCAATTTTATCTTATACCTGTCGCATAAGACGACTGCTTATTGATTATATAAAGATGGTGTTATTGGAGATGTTGTTACTTACTTAGAAATTCAAGAGAAACGAAATAACAAAACTGATTCTATATCATGTATTTTCTACGCAGAACCCCTTAAAACGGGAACGATTTTTTGTTTATGTTTCATCACGGGATCTCTTGCGAATACTTATTATTCTTCTTCCTCTTTTCTTTTCCTATATCTAAACAGTTACAAACAGCCTGGTGTACTAATGGCCATTTACTTATACTTCATCGAATATCACAAAATACAGCTAATGACAGTACGATAATGTACGATAATAGTACATTACGTTGCTGTGAAAGCAATCATAACTCGATTTCTACATTTTCTCAGCCGAGCTTACATAGATAAAGGTTGATTTCATTGATATGGGTATTCCTCGAATAGGCAATTTATTATGAAGTTATGCTAGTAATATAAAAGGTAGAAATACTTTTATTACTTTATTATCAGTTTAGTTCATGATGTGAATCTTTTCATGTTATCGTACCGAGGCCGACGTTAACCTACTGACAAACATCACTCAGAATTTAAGATGTTTTTGTAAAATTACAGTAAGAAACTACCACCAATTTCTAAGGGTGATTTCGGGGTTTTAAAAGCGTCTTATACAGAGAAAGTTACGGTATATCTGTAGTGTGGACCTGGTCCCAACCATGGTGAACAGTCTGCTTCATGATTAAGTGAATTGTCCTGACAACTGCGTTTAAGTATAAAACAGACTCTCAAAACCCGTATATGATAACTATATCCACATAAACACACACACTGAGACAAACACACACATACATACACACACATACACGTATATACATATATTAATGTTTTTCTTTTAATCATTTTCCGCTGAATATAACAGCCAAGGAAGGAATATATATATATATATATATATATATATATATATATATATATATATATATATATATATATATGTGTGTGTGTGTGTAATTTAGAATATTTGTGGGCTGACGTGAACACAGAAAAAGTGTAGTAAAGTTTTACACACAGTTTCCATCTCTTTATCCAAACACAAACAAGTTCTGTCTCTCTCTCTCTCACACACACACACACACACACACACACACACACACACACACACACACATATATATATATATATATATAATATATATATATATATATATATATATATATGTGTGTGTGTATTGCTTGAATTTATACAATTGTTGATTGTTAATTTCAACGTTTTAGACAGTGAAAGATATTTGTCTCCTTCACGAATGATATCCCTTGAGATCTTTTTTTCTTTCAGGCAGATATATATATATATATATATATATATATATATATATATATATATATATATATATATTGTGTGTGTGTGTGTATTTGCGTATGTGTTTGTATGTGCGTGTTTATTTGTCGGTTGTATATTTGGATAACGATTCTTTATTTATCTTCCCTTGAATACGAGGGACAAGGAATATTTGTATGTGTTTATTTTTTTATTCAGTTTTCCTTTTATCCCTTCAATTTTTATTTTGAAAGGCGTGGAAGATCGTGGATAAATTTGCAATAGTGTTTACTGCTCCGAGACTTTTCGGCTGAGAATTTGGTAAATTTTAAGGTGGGGAATGGGGTAAACGTTGTTTTTGAAAGGGACCTGACTGTATTTAGAAACTAAACAAAAACTTTACTGAGAATGAAATTAACACGACTCTCGCACAACACATTGGATAAACAGAATAAATAATCTCTATCTCTCTATCTCTGTGTATATATATATATATATAGATAGATAGATACGGCGAGAGAAAGAGAGATAAACTGATATAGATATAAACGGATATAAAACCTCATAGATAGATAGATATGAACAATTAAATTTCAAATGATTAAGATAAAATGATATGTAAGGCTTTTATTGATATTAAGCTGAACTAGACACATAGATAAGTACCTCGATAGAAATGAACATGCTGACATAGATATATAGACAAATCAGGATAGATAGATAGATAGATAGATAGATAGATGAATAATAATGAACAGACTGAGATAGATAGATAGATAGATAGATAATGAATAGATAGATAATGAAGAGAGATGAGATAAGATAGACTGAGATAGATAGATAGATAGATAATGAACAGACTGAGATAGATAGATAGATAGATAGATAGATATAATGACTGAGATAGATGAGATAGATAGATAGATAGATAGATAGATAGATAGATAATGAACAGACTGAGATAGATAGATAGATAATGAACAGACTGAGATAGATAGATAGATAGATGAACAGATAGATAGATAGATAGATAATGAACAGACTGAGAGATAGATAGATAGATAGATAGATAATGAACAGACTGAGATAGATAGATAGATAGATAGATAATGAACAGATAGATAGAGATAGATAGATAGATAGATAGATAATGAACAGACTGAGATAGATAGATAGATAGATAGATAATGAACAGACTGAGATAGATAGATAGATAGATAGATAATGAACAGACTGAGATAGATAGATAGATAGATAGATAGATATGAAGAAGCTGTGATAAGCAGATAGATTTGTAGAGCCCCGTTTCAGAATTGAAGGAAAAAATCTAATGGATTCAATTACTGTCACTTGTTTTTTTAGTACAAAACCGACTCACAGAAAGTAACTCAATTTTTACATTGACAGGTTCCAAATATTTGAATCTTTGCATTCATATCTATTAACCAACCAGCAGGGAAAATATCTTAGAATAAAATTTCGGAGACGCAACTTCAGAATATGTTCAACAATATTTTTCTTCCTTAAAAGAAATATATAGAAACATATATTAGTCAATATGTTTGCAATTAAAAAAAAATCTAAAACTAAGATTCACCCGGAACCTACTATATTATTATATGTATGATTAATTCTTGTCCACTAACTAGTCTTTCAGTGAACATTGACCAGGGTGTTTGATCGATTGGTTGCGAGACAAAAGAAACAAAAATTGTCACAATTAATTACTCAAAACTTTCTTTTATTTATTCGTGTATACAATATTAGAAAGATTACGCTTAGCGATAGTTTACATGCGTCAACACTCGCAGCATAACTTCCTGCTTTTTTTTATAAGGTCTACAACTACAATTCATACAGACATGGAAAACAATGTAGACCTTTTAGATATATCTGCACACTCATAGACGCATTTATCGCTTATCCTATACTAACGCAATTAATTCATTCAGGTTTACTGTGAAAAAGTTACACACAACATATTCTGCGGAGTTATATCGCGAAGAAGTTTTGTAATTCATTTCTTTTAATTTCAAAGAAAAAATAATACATAAATAAAAATTATTAAATTTCGTAAATCCCAGTTTGAAGATTAACTTAATTCTTCGTTTATACACGTATATTTCGCTACAAATAATTGGTGACCACCAACGAAGAACAATTTAAGAATTATTTCTGACCCATCGTCATAAAATATTTTTCAATGTAAACATACAAATACAATCATCTACAAATAAAGGATTGGTGACCTATCTTTTACATTTACAAATGATTGGTCACATCAACAAATATTGTAAATTAACCGATATCTAAAAAACGATTCAAATATTTGTGAAAACTGGCTATATCCTGAACGTATGACGATAGAGACTTTTACCTATCAAGTCGAATATTTAAGTCAGAAAACAAATCTAATGACTGTTAAAAAATACTGACTTTCCATTTGATAAAGTGTAGATCTTTCATTGCACTCTTTTTGGGACAAGAACCCGCAATTAAGAGGATTTCTTTATATTCCCAACGAGCTAACTGGAGTTAATCTCGTGGGGGGGGGGGGGTTGACGCGACGCTCCCTAGAAATGAATCTATATTTTTATTTTACAAGTCGCATACACAACTTTTGGAATTACTGACAAACTTTTCGTATTTCATAATTACATTTCAAATCTTTTCGTAATCACGAATTTAGTCTTGTGTTTAGCCGAACAAAGTCCTGATAAATTTTCGAAACATTTTCCAATCCAGCCTCCGTACAATTCCTGTTCCACTTTCGTACACAAACCTTGTCAACTTTCGAAGACATATTTTCTAAAATATAGAAGGAATTTATATATCTAAAAAAAAAAACTACTTATAACAGCTTTTACTTTAACAGCCTACACGAAACCAAACTACAGAGAAATGGAAGCATACTCGCAACTATATTATTCAACAGATGCCGTACCCCATTAATCAACAAACGGTAAATTCATTTATTTTTCTCAGCAAACATACAAGATTCATAAAACAGAAATATATTTTCAGTCGTGAACTTTTGTCTATCTTCACAGCAGACATTTTCGTCATCTAGAAGATACAGTCTTTATCACATTCAGCGACCACAACATCTGACTTCTTTTTTCGTTAATACAAAAGGTGAAAAATACATGATATATATATTTCACAAGTTTGGAATGTCATCATAACGAGACCTTTATACTGTTGACGCATTTTTACCAGTTACCTATTCAAAACATTGAACTACAATATTTTACGTATTTTGAAAAACATAAGGACACAGCAATGAAATAATTTTTTAAAACATTTCTATTTCATTGGAAGCATTTCCTTTAACTTTCTGATCTATCATCAAGCCTAAAAAGAAATTTCCAATACTAAAAAAAAAAAAAAGAAACACATTTCGTAAGCTGGAAAACGTTTATCTCTTAAAAACAAACTGTCGACGGATTTTTCCGCACAGCATTTTCCGTACTGTACTGTACTGATGCGGCATTCACCCTGGGCGGATTGAGCCGGCTTCTTCCTGTTATGAGAAGAAGATTCTTGGGATAAATTACAGAAGTAGGGTACCCAGGCCTACTCGGATAACGTTCTTGCTTGCCGCGGGGTTCCCACAGACGCAGAGACAGGAACGACCAGAAGCCGCCAGTTGCCGATGCAGACGCTCCTTGGATTTTCACCAGAGCCCTTGTTAGCCGGCGTGTGTGTCAGACCTGTCCGCTTTGGGTGGCCCTACCAGGAACGAAGTTCCGGGCGGCATAGCTCTGACACTACCGTAGGTAGACATTTTCCGTAGGTAGACATCGCTTTCTTTTTCGCGGGAACTCATGAAAACATTCCATACTAACGGACATTTCAAAGCCTTTTTCGCTACTTTAAAGGCACATTGTGTGACACGACTGGAAAGAAGCAATGAGAGCAACTACTTTTAAAAACATTTCTTCTTGCGTTTGGTTTAGTTTGGTTTGTTTTTGTTTTATGGCATATCAACCCCAATTGGTTATTTAATATAGTAGAAACCGGCTATTGGGTGGGAAATAAACGCGTCTGAACTTTGATCTCGACTGAAAACTGAGGACTGGGGAGCCCTAGCTATGATATGTCACTAGTGCCCCATTTGTTTGGAGAGACCTAGGTCTTGTAAAGATAGAGCATCGCGAGAGATGTCAGGTACTTTCCGAAACGGGATAGTGGGCCGTACATCTCCTCATAATTTTCAGTGTTGTATCGTATATACAGTGTATAAATTCCAATTGAGTTCTGGAGAGAACTTTAGCCTCAATCAAGGCAAGAAACCTCCTTCAGCGAACATCCGATAGACGAAAATTGAAAATCTGCTCGCTAATGATGATTATTACTTGAGCTATTGAGGCATTGAATATTACAATCGAGTCCTTCTCCGCATTGATCACCCGGAGATCAGTCATAGAAGAGGTCGGCTGGCAGGTTTTCGTAATTGCGATTTATGGAGGTACACACATATCGGCTGTAACAGCAAAATTGTCCAATTGTTAGATTAAGCTCTGCACCGGACTAATGATATCGTCTCCGACGATTCTCCGAGATTTTTATAACATAACTGGAATCTACTTTGAGCAATGAGAATGTATAATTACTCTCCAAGCTTAACAGGACAATCGTGATGAAATCGATCATAAACGAAAACGATATGTTTATCGTTAATTAATCATAGCTAATGATCGGAAGCCCTCTCTAACCTAACTTTCTGTCCTGGAGTAACAAGGTGTCGCACACGTTTCAAATACGATTTCATGTTCAAGTCTTTTTTCACTGATTCTTTGAACTGTCATAGCTGAAACTCCTCTCTCACATGCCAAACGTATCATGGATTGAGTTGGATCTTTTCGAATTGATCTCTTAAGCTCTGAGTTGAAATAATGATCACTCATGCGATTGTGACTTCCTGATTCAGTTTTCCTCTCTGCTGTTTCCTTTATTTTAAACTTATTCACCGTTATCGTCATGGTTCTGGAATGGACATTGAAGATAAAAGCCAGGGTTCTTCGGTGATTCTTACGACAAATGGTGTCAAGATGGTGAAACTTCTTATCTGAAACCTAAAAAAAAAAACTCGTTGGTTTAGTGGTCTTTTAGATATTAAACATTTTGTCGGATGGACACTTATGCTGTTACACTATATGGACAATTTTACTGTTACACCCGGTATACTGTTGTTGCTAATGAACTGAGTATGTTTTTAGAAAGATCTTTAATATAGATTAGAAAGAGGATAGGACCGAGAAGAGAGCCATGATAAACGCCTACATTGATTTCATGGGATTCAGAGGACTAGTGATTTCACAAAGACCTTCAAAGGCCAAACTGTTAGGAAAGACTTGATATTCGAATTCCTACTTGGGCAATGCAAGATACTTCAGCATTCATATATATATATATATATATATATATATATATATATATATATATATATGTTGGTAGGATCCACCTAATTTGCATAGTGGAGTACCCACCATATAAATATGGTTGGTACCAGGAAGAGAGGGAGGAATCAAGAGATTCAACCAGAGACTCTGCCCGACTGCGACTCAGTCAACACATTCTCCAGGAACGGTCTTCCCAAGAATATACAAAAGACTATATGTAAATATTGTGTACACTTCTTTGTTTCAATACATTTTGTTCTAAGTACATTTTGTGTTGTATTATTATTCCATGCATTAGTCAAGTTTCAACAATATATATATAAAGAGATATGAAAGAAAATGATAGATAAATTCATATAAAATGGCTGAGAGAGAATGATGGAGATAGAGAAAGAAAGAGAGAGAGGCAGAGAGACATGGAGACACTGAGATGGATAGATACGAAAAGAATGGATTAGATACATATCTATCTATTTGGATATGAACATTATGATATGATTGTGTATTTAGGCAGCAATCCTTCATTTATACATGTTCCATTAAAAACGACACACAAGGTACTACGATTAAGCATTTTTATTTATTTTGGAACAATTTATTTTGTTTTTTCTGTTGGAACATTAAAAGAATGATTTTCTTCTTTTTTAAGAGTTGTATGTTTTAGAGTTGTAGGGATGTTTTATTTTCCGAACACAGTTAGCACATTGTGGCCGTGTTCGTATTTAACAATTTTAATTGTTGTTTTATTTCTTTTTTATTATTAAGGCTTCCATTATTTTTTAATCTTTTTCTACAGGTGGATGAGGTCATTGCGTTTGTTTTTTCTACCAGCATGTTTCGGATGGAGTCTGGTAATTTTATGTGCGTGTTTAAATGGCTTCTACGAGAGCTGTGGCCAGATAAGTGTAACGTAAGACATCTGCATAGGCATGTAGTCGTGTGACCGTTAAAATTATTTATGAATTCGGTTGATCAGGGACACAGTTCCTTAAGGGGAATTTGAACTCATAGACAATGTTCGTTCGTTGTAATTTTGATTTTGGTGTTGTTTTGTTATTTTTGACTATAGATTATTCGGTTCAGTTGGGGTAGTGTATTTCTTTATAATATTTCTAAGTGAAGATTCATCTTTTCGGTAGTTGATTTGCATATTTTTTTTGTAAAAAAACCTTTATGTTATTTTTGAATGCGTGTTCGCTCTTATTGTTATTTACTTTAGGGTGAAATAGTCTAAGTTGGTGGTCTATAAGGTGTTTAGGGAAGCCATTTTTAATTAGCGTCTGTTTAACATTATTGAGTTCTTTACGGAAGAAGGAGACGATGGATTCTAGTGTGCTCTTTTTAGGAAGTTTTTTTTTTTATTACAGCTATTTTGTATCTGAGCGCGCATTCCCTTTTAAAGTTAAGGTGACAAGAGTTTCAATGAGGTGATAAAACAGCTGTTACTATATTCTACAAGAACGTATAAAAATATGTGCTCATTTATTTATTTTTGACTAAGTTTACCTACGAACTTAGTCAAAAAATAATCAACATTACATAATAAATTTTCACTACAGACATGTTTTTCTGTTTTCAAAAACACCATCTGAATTTGCTCATGTAAGGTGCCCCAGATATTTTACTTGCCCATTTTTGGGGGTCGTCTCTTACATGCACCTCTAGAACCCTGACAAAAAATATAATTATGTTTGAAAATAACTCCAATAGGAAGAAAATTTAATCTGTAGACAGCACAATAGAAAAAAAATTCACTTATGAGATGGGAATTATTATAAATTATTAACAGTTGAAAATGGCCTAAGAATTTTGCACGATACGGTATATATATATATATATATATATATATATATATATATATATATATATATAATAAAAGAATTAAACACTAATATGAGTGTTTACGCCTTTTATTATATCCTTACTCTGTCCTGGACATTGAGTTCTACCTGGATTCTATCCTCTAGGAATTATTTTTTTTATACAAATATATATGTATGTGTATGTATGTATGTATATATATTTATATATTTTGCATATCTATCTATCTATCTATATATATATATATATAATATATATATGTGTGTGTGTGTGTGTAGAGAGAGATATTCCATCGAATCCTGAATTGGCATATTTCTTCTCTTACCACTTTCTATACTCGTTTTTCAAAATTTCCGCCTCGACTGATGCCATTTCTACAGTACTTGTCATTTGCTTTTTATCTCTGAAATATTATTTCATATTTTAACGTTGTTTTCGCTCCCACTTCAATCTTATTGCCATACCTCCCATTTTGGGGGTCCGTTTTCTGCAGCACGAAAACATCTTCACCTATGATCGTAACAACTCCCGAAAACAAAAGCTCATGTAAAAAAAAAAAAAAAAAACTTCTTTATTTTTTTTCTTCTCTTTCGAGTCTTTCCGCTTTACGATAAAGAGCTTGGCGGGTGCATTCCATTATTTAAAACTATTCCCATCGGACAGGTGGAAACTTTCTCATTCTTCTTCGGCAGGTAATAGCACGGTACAGTGAAGCATTGTCTGCCATCGGCACACGCTCGGTTTAGTAAATGGAAGAGAGGAACATGCCAAAGTTGGAAATACAAGAACGATATTCATCAAGTAAAAACATCCGACAATAATTTTTGAAACTGTCAGTTTGTCATTTTTAGAATCTATCTATCTATCTATCTATCTATCTATCTATCTATCTATGTTTTTTACTTCATATCTATCTATCT